AAACACTATACAATATGAAAAAATATATTTCAAGTACTGGTTTCGCACGAATTCCAAAAAATATTGCAATGTTGAGTTACTCCGAAAAGTCCTGAAAACAGTTACGTCCTCAAACTATTTTATTATAAATAATAGTGTTGTAACCAATTAATCGCCGAATTTCACTGAGCGATTGCTTGGAAAAAATATTTACTTAAGTAGCTTAAACTTAAATATTAATACAAAAATTTAAAACAGCCCCATAGCTGTAAAGCCATGTAGATTTGTATTTCCTTTTCTTTTACGCAAATTTTGAATTGACAAGACTGCTATCGATCCAGTGGCACTCGAAAAACGAGAAAATTGATAATAACGCACACAGTCAACATAGCCCCGCACTAGGGAAACCCTATGTCGCGGGTGCCATGACCACACACACAGACAACCACAAATTACATCCAAACTCACGAGAGAAATAAATGTAGGCCATACAAATATTTCAACCGGCCAGGGAATCGAACCTGGGACATCTGCGTGGCAGTCCGGCATGATAACCGTTCGGTCACGGAGGCAGTTAAAATAATAAAATAGATAAAAGACTATTTTGATAAAGATATAAATATTAACAATATAATTGAAAACGAATTAATTATACTGGAGACACTAGCTCAACTGACGATTTTGGCTCATCTTCCAATCACATTGAATAAAAATTTAAATTATGAAGCCTTTTGTTTTACTTCAGAATATTGCCATATCGTCCAGGTCGTCCTTGTGAACTCTGCTAATGCAACAAGTAAGGTTGTCATTTAAAATACCTTGCCATTTAAAAATAATATATTTAACTGTATAATGTTTCAATAAATGTTAATTGTACCATCTAGAACTGAAAAGCAATGAACCAAAATGTAATTGAAACTCATAAAATTTTGAATCATTTCTTGTGGAAATCGTTAGCTCCAATCCCCATTTCACATCGTGATACAAGTGTCAAATTTGGCCTCTTATTTGGTGACGGCTATAGTACTAACCACATTTATAGTTATATGTATTTGCGTGTGATGCACTTTGGTAGCATGGCTTACTAGTAGGCGATAATTCAATGTACTGTGATACTGACAGAAAATCAGCACTGTTTAACTTTTCACAGTCTACAGTATTTATGCTGAGTCAAGGTTATCTCAGAACACTTTTCTGTTAAATGCTTTCATAGTTGCAACAGTACACAATTTAAGTATTTTGTCTATAAATATGCATTCATACCAATGTGTACTAAATTATATTCTGTGCTTTTGTGTTTATGTCCTGTGATGTGATTGTAAATGTTTGTTTCTGCTTGTATTTGAGCTTTATAAACCTTTTTGTCTTCATATTGTTTTGTCTACAAAAAAAAAGAAATCATAATTTTAACTCCTTGAAATCCTTAGTTGGGTTTAGTTTATTTCTCTCTACATTATAAATTTCATACAAATATAATTAAATAATGAGAAATAATTATATAATAGTAAGGGTCATATTCCAGAACTGTACTCAATGCTCAAGTCAGGATTTGAGCAGACTTGAGTATGATTTCAAGCACTGGAAATACGGCCCTAATGGCAAGGACTTGACTATGATTTCTAGTGCTTTGAATCATACTCAAGTCCCGACACGAGCATTGAGAAGAGTTCTAGAACAGGAGCCTAAGTCTCAGTAGACAAATCAAAATAATTAATGAAACTAATAAATAATTGAATTACACTATGTCGAGTGTAGGTACAGTAAACAGGAAATGTCAATATGAATTCTTAATAACTAATAAATGTAAATTAAAGTATAATAATGCAGTGAATGTCAAATTTCTATGACCAAATAACAACCATTGGATCAAATGTATTCGAAAAGTGTCAGAGTCTTTTTTTATAATTTTTATCTTGAGTATGACATGCATTCAAGATATCTATTAAACGTTATAGAAGCGATCACTTTCGACTACAAAATCTAATCAAATTAAACATAAATTAAAATATCTACATTACTACCATTAATACCAACTGCTTACACACGACATACCATTCCTTGCCTGTACGTCTGGTGCACCCTGAACAACAATCGCTGAGTACCTTACGCCGATTGGCAAATTCTTTCACCACTATGGTGAGCAGTACAGTGTATGCCACCAATAAAACATTAACTGAATGATTTTTATGGTACAGCACATGATGCAACCAGACTATCCATATTTCTACATTTCGTCGGGGATAGTGCAAATACGCGTAACTAGCATTTGATTATGAGTTCCTATTTCGGTAATTTAGTAGCCAAATAAAATCTGCGTAAACGTCCTGACAACCAAATTGGTTTGTTTCTTTTCAAGTAAAATAAATTGAAACAATAAAACAGCATAATATACTTGTATACAACTTAGTATATGACATTAACACAGGCTTATTTAAGAATGCCATCAAGCACTCATGGGAGGTATGTATACATAACAATGTAAATTTACAATGGATTAAAGGACACAGCGGCTCACATGGCAATGACGCAGCAGATATACTGGCCAGAAAAGGGTCCGAGACGGTCACTCTAGGACCAGGCACCCATAGTGTCGCTCCTCTACAAATGGTCAAGAACAATCATACACAAAAGTACAAAATCTTCTCATAATGACACATGGACAACCCTTACAGTTTGTAGACAGGCTAGGGAAGCACCCAAAGCTCAACGCCAGTACATCGCGAAAATTAATCAAACTCAAAAGGCAAGAGCTTCGTTCTCAAACTGCTGCCCAAACAGGTCATGGTCCATACAATAAACACCTTTTAGGTATCACAGACAGCCCTCTATGCAGAGCGTGCATGGAGGGGGAGGAAACGGCTGTGCACATCCTACTACAGTTTTCCAGCGTGGTCAACTACAGGGCAAAGTACCTTGGAGTGCCAAGATCGCTCCCTGAAGTCTTCAGCAAACCGAGGAGGTGGCTGAGATTCCTGGAGGAGCTTGGGTGGCACAAGTAGGACATTGCATCCACCACACGCAAAATAGGCGCCTTGACGTCGAGTTGCGAACACCAGCCCATTACACCAAGTACCAAGTATAATTTAGTGTTGCAAACAGAACTAGTTCAAAATTCTGTTGCTCAACTATAAAAATGAGGAGGTGTTAAAGCAAGACTGCATTTAAAAGTGTGTATAAACACCTAATCAGCAATAATTCCATTTGATGAGTCAACATCATTTACTAGTGCTTAAATGTAATTATTGAGGTATTTAACTGCAATTGTTAATTTTGTAGTAGTTATGTAATGTAATTTACTAAATTTAATTAAGAAAAAAAAAGTACTATAATAATAAATAATAATAATAATAATAACGCACACACTCAACATAGCCCCGCACTAGGGAAACCCTGTGTCGCGGGTGCCATGGACACACGCATAGACAACCACAAATTACACCCAAACTTAGAGAGAAATAAATGTAGGCCATACACATATTTTTCCCGGCCTGGGAATCGAACCCAGGACCTCTGCATGGCAGTCCGGCAGGGTAACCGTTCGGCCACGGAGGCAGTTAACTATATGAATTCTCCACTTCTTTGAACACTTTTATCTTTTTATGAGACAAAATTGAAAAACTAACATTACCATATCAGACATACGTAAGTCAATTGTGTGGATTTTAAAACAAATATTCCATATTACTTTTTTTATATAAATAATAGACTCATGCCAGATTTGCTTCACCTGAAATGTTGTGACTTATGATGATATACATGTTAATAGACCAACATTGTAATATCTGTACATGGAACATTACTGTAGATTATATTAATTACCATAAACAAACTCCATAAACAACACCAACATCAATAAATCATAACTTTTATGTAAATTTTCCATATGTTAAGCGTCAAATCTATTACTCTAGATATTCCTGTATTTGAAATGTGGAAGAGCAGGACTCCAACATTTTACAAGTATATATTTACTTAAAGTAGTTTCAAGCAATGAATAATTAAATAATTTACAATTACTGTAAACTGGGCCTAAGTTAAAGTACATAAACTTTTTTTAATCTTCTTTATAAATCAATACCAGCAATTAACACTATACAATCATAAAAATTGCAACTTTTCACTTGTGATAACTTTTAATTTTTCAAACATTTATACTCATGATTTTTTTACTACACCTTATTCATCATAAGTAATAGAATGTATGATTATAACATTTTGTATTATTTATTTATTTTTGAATTGTATCTTACCTGAATAATTTGACATTAAAAACGCAAAATAGTATGAATTGCTAATGTGTAAATGTACAATGTTTTAAGTATTAAATAACTCAAATACCAGAATATCAAAGAGAAAATTAAAAGAATAATCTGTAAAAAGTATGTTGAACACAAACAACAAATGGCAATGACAAATTATTTACAAACAAAATCCAGGCATGTGAAACAGCTTAAGACTACCAGTGCATGACATCAATGCCACTACAGTGTGTATGCACAATATGTGTATGAGTAGTAACATTTTAGCAATGTTTGAAATACAATGCTAGCCTTGAACAGCTAGCCTGCCAACTGCTTTTTAATTAAACCATTCAAAGATTATCAATTGAAGCGCCAAATGAAAACTCACTCGTGTTATAATTGCTTATCACATAAACAAACAAATTACAACAATTTGGTTTTTCTAAAACAAAAAGTCGTTTCGTTCGTAATTTCAAAGGCTTGTTAACGGTTGAGCTTGGTTTGATTGAAACTTTTCCGAAACACATTAAGGAAAAACTTCAACAAAAATGCAGTTAACTTGATGTGACCACATAACTTTCTATGCACAATTAACTTCGTTACTTAGAAGCAAAGGCTTAATATAAAGATATTAAATATTAATTTATAAATGTGAGCTCCAAGGTGAACTCTCGGAATAAAAAACATAAAATAACTAAACAAAAAGAGAGAATTAGCTAGCATTTACAAAAAAAAACTTGTAACTGACGTTTGTTCAGTCGCAATCTTGTGATTACTTACCCAAAGCTCAGTTCCCCAATTCATTTTCACGGTAATGTATCCTGAATTCATTTTCACGTTAATGTATCACATTGAATTGACTTGCTTCACTCAGCACAGTTTAGTACATAAAATGCGCAATATTTTTCACTCTATTAATATTTTTCACAAATCACAATCTCCATCACATTTCTTGGAAATAAACATGGCTGACTGACGTGACATGACACGAGCCAAACCCGAGCGGATCAAACTGAAGTGAGTGGCAGGTAGACTTTTCACAACCTCCTAATTATTGTCTATGGAAAAGGTTGCCAGAAAATAATAATTCTCCAAAAAATGGGAGTAAGAACTAATGTTGTAGTGAAAAAAAAACATATTTTTCAGAAAAATAAATATTGTCCGGGTATTTTTCCAATATTTTTCCTTTATTTTTCCAATTTGACATTGACACTTGTCAAAAGTTAAAATTACTGAATGAAAACGATGTGGAGCTAACCAGAAGTGGTAGCATGGTTTGGCTATTGGAGGTTTTTTCACTGTTGTGAATAATTCTTTTAAATTTAGTTTTTCTTCTAAGTGGCTTTTAATTATACAAGTTTATTTTATAATCACGCTAAATAAAATTTCAAAAGATATTTCTAAAAGTAGAACATAGTATGAGCCGATTCGATATTCGAAATGATATTTTTGCAATTTTTCGGAAATTATTCCGGAAAAAATCCACCGTTTGGAATTTTTTGGAAAATTATTCAACAGCAGTAAGAACCTGCAACGTTTTGTAAAAAAAATTTATAATTATGAAATACAGTGCAATCAAATTATGCACGATGTAAGTACTGTACGTTTACAAATTACTATGAATTGCACCATTTCAGAGTAAATAAAAGATCGATTTAAAATTTCAAACACACTTTAATCTAGACTATAATTTATATAAACATTTAATTTAAAAAAAAAACAGAACACGATGTAAAAAATTGACAGCCACTTTTAATCGTCAGCTGTGTAATATATTTCATTTGATACAAAAATTTTTATGTGACGTTCAGAATTAGCACTTCTTGGTTGTAGCAGAGACCCATCTGAACCTCGGCGTACCAAAGTAGTTCGACGAACTTCCTGTTAATAAAGGACAATATTTTAATGCGTAACAGTTTTCACATAAACTTAATAACACTAAGTAATATCGTGGAAATAATAATAAAGGCATACCTTCACTGGCTCTAGCACTATGTGATGACTTGATCTTCTTGACGTTGGTGGACCCGTAATGGACGAAGCTCGAGAAGACGCCAAAGGGCTCTGTATAAAAAAGCAAATTCGTTAATTACTCTTTTAACGAATTTACTATCTATCTATTTACTTCTGATTTAAAATTAACTTAGAAAAGCAATGATATTTCTTGCATAGAATGAAATATTGTAGGAGCTTACTTTGAAGGCAGGTACAAATCCAAAATCTGTTGGTAGTGGCTGTGTAAATACATTATAAGGCCCTTCTTCTGAAGCTACAGATACTATAGATGGCCTAGCAGAAAGTTGCTGAGCAAGAAGCACTGGGTCAGCATCTATAAATGTGTTTGAAACGAGGTCAAATTGTCGATCGTTATAATATTTAGAGAAATTGCCGAATAGCAACTATACCAACCGATATTCATGCACTTGGCAACCCTTCGAGCCTGTAGAACTCTACTAGCACTTCTTCTAAAGCGTATGCCCTTTTCTGTCTCTCTTCTCAATCTTTGTGCTGCTGCTGCTGATTCTGCAATTGCCATTGCAGTAGAACTCATTCCTGATCTTTTTAAATTTATGTCTATGAGATAGCTTAGACAAATCGCGTTAGCCAACGTCATGTCGCTGGGCTGGAATTAAATAAAAAACACATGAAGATCTAGACGACTGGCTGTGCCTAGTTTAGTGTCCCTAAACTAAACTACTTTATAGACACTAAACTAGACACAGTTAAAATCAAATTTAATCTAGTCTTAAAGCACAACATCTAGTTAGCTGTATGTAACTTCAATCTAAACCTACATATAGTTCGTACTCAGTGATGACGTGGATGGAAAGCAGATAAGTTCAGTTGTATTTTTTGGTTTGTTTGATCATCGACGCCTAATTTTGTTTGCAACATACAAACCACAAATTTCAATAAAAGTTATTTCACAATTTTTTGGCTGTAATTCGACCTGCAATTTGGTACCAGATGTTGCACTGTCTTACCATCTTTATTACTGTAAGTATGGGCTGTTAAAGATTATGACGAAATGTTCTTGAATACCTTCCATACATTTACCTGATTTTGCATTTATCTGATTACATACTGAATCATATGTTCTCTTAATATGATTGAAGATGACAGTATATAACAAAAGCACTACTTACAGATCCAATATCATTAACACTTATGTCTAAAGACCGCAAAGGGGTTTTCACTAAACCGATAGCACGTGCTAATAAATCTCCACATGTCGGCGGATTTTCTGCAGTTGTAGTCGACCAAACACCTACGGGTGTTTTTAACAGAGGTCTTGATTTTATACCACAACCGGAAATGTTAAGACTGAAATCAAAATAAAATTTGATGACGTAAATTGAAAAATGACATACACGCTACACGTTGTTACATATACTAGCTTCATATTTGTACTCACGCTGTAAGATTGCAACCTCTTGCTATTGCAATAGCTATAAAAGCAATTCCTTCTGAGCCAAGTTTATTATTTAACCTCAAGTCCAAATTACGTACACTGCAACTTGACTGAATAAGAACTTGTGATATGCTTTCTGTTCCAGGTGGTCCTTAAAACATTTTGAAATTATTTTAGTTACTTTATTATTGATAATATTTTAAGTTTATTGATTACTCTTAAGTGTTAAGTTATAAGTAGATTTACCGAAAACATTATCTGTTAACAATAAGTTCCTAAGGTTTTCGTGTTTAGAAATATATTTTGCCACATAAGCTGCTCCTTCATCTTTTATTTTACAATGGCTGAAATCTAGTGTTTCCAAGTTGCGATTGTCAGATATGCCTCGTAAAATATATTTTAATCTTTGGCAATTTAAATCACTTCTTGTTATTCTGAAACGTTAAGATATATTACCTTTAATTAGACGAAATTTTCTTCCAAATATTTCATTACTAACTCAATATAGTATATGTCTTACAAAGACTTACTTTAAAACTTTTAACTGCTCACATTTCTCGAGACCACGCGCAAGATTCTTTGCATCATTATTGGTAAATTGAAATTGATCTTTCCTGTATTCAATTCCAATATTTTTCAGTTGGTAAGTAATATGAAGCTCGACTAGATTTGTCAAACTCCCTAACACAGCGTGCAAAGATATATGATCTGTAATAAAATGCTCGTATTTTGTGTTACACATTCTCAAATAGTTATGGAAAAATTAATGTAAGTTACCTCTTGTTAGTGGGCCCATGTTTTTAAACTGTGATTGTTGCTCATTTTTAGGACGACTCGTTATTAAATCCGCCATCTCAGGTGACGTCGTTCTTTGAACTGGAAGATCAGATGGGATCAAGCTTCGTATTGAAAGTGATTCTATGTAAGGACCACAAAGTTTCACTAAAGTTGTCATCTGCACAAAAAAAATTAAAATTTGAATGGGTTACACAATTAAATCCAATTCAAGTTTTATATTGTAAATATCTGTATACGGGCAGCCCAAAGTATGTGAAGCTTAACAATTAAGATTCAAATTCGACTCTATGACGCTAACGATGAGAAAAATTGAACGCCCAAAAGTGTCAGCTTGATGTGCTCTTTACGTACCTTTTCAGGATCATATTGTCGTGGATTCATGTTTTCTAAAATACCTGCGTAATATCGTTCAATGAAGACATTAATCCATCGTTTTTCGTTAGTGATTTGAGGTGAATCGAACCATTTGGTATTGTAATATCTCTTCCAGAAAATATCACTTTTTATGTTGTCTACTAAAATTTGCAAAGGTACGTTTGTATTCAATATTTGAAGAAATAATTCCCGATCCTTCGCTATTAGTTCCTCTAGTTTTGGAAAACCTAAAAAGAAAGATCTAACTCAGTTAAAATTTAATTAGGTATATACATATATATATATATATATATATATTTATATATATATATATATATACGTAACGAAATTGAAAAGATTTAGCTTACCCATCCAATTTTCACACAGCTTTTCGATACACAAAACAGATAAAGGTTTTGGGTGGTTGTCATCCCATTCAAATTTTTCTGGTTTAATTTTTCTTTCGGGTTCTATCTTTGCATTAGGTTTATAAGCTAAATATGTATTAAAGTTTATGCTGTCGGGTAATTTCATTTTAATTATAATTAAAAGTATAATGAAATGAAAATTTGCTTCTTATATTTACTTAAGAACATTGTTATAAAGTTCCTGTATAAGAAGAAATAAACAGTATATGTTATACTTACCAACTAATGATAAAACATTCCAATTTGCTATGGTTACCAGCGATTTACTATACTTCTAGGGAAAAAATAATTTGAACCTTGTATTTCTTTTACAATAGACATCGTAGACGGAGAAAACTATAGAATGCTGGACGTCTTCCATCACACAAGAAAAACAAAACTTTAATAAATGATTGTAAAAAAAAGAGACAAAGCCTAACATTTTCTGTCCCTTATCACGTTTTTTCAAGGTCAGCACTTCATATGCTAAACAAAGTTTGTTGTTTGATATTTGTTTGAAAGAGGTTTAAATAACTAACTAAATAAAATTAAGTAAATTATTTTCATTTAATAATTCGAAATACAAGATCTGCTTTGTGTTAAGTGTTGAGGATTGACCTTAGCTATTGCTGCAAAATGGTACGGTGCAGTGTTCTAGGTTGCAAAAGCGATAGTGATAAGAAAATTACCGGATTGTCTTTTCATTTGTAAGTAGCTAAATATTTCAGTTTATTTGGTGGAAGTTTCAACTATTATGGTTTATAAACTGTTCAAATACTTATTAACGTTTTTCAAGATAAAATGACTGCTGAATTACAGGTAAATAAGTTTTTTTTACACAAGTTACTTCAAATAACCTCAAATCTCAGTGCTGCCGTTTTACTCTTATATTACCCCATTGTAAGGGAAAATGTCAATAAAATAAATTGCAATAAATACGCTCTTGAATCTACTATGCTTAAAGTTGTAAAGTATGCCTACTTTTCACCGGGCTTAATGTTACCATCTTTAACATTTTAGTACCTAATTGTAGCAAAAGTTATTGTTTTTTTTTATAATAGGTATTATAATTGTTATAGTGTTGTAAAATTTTCAGATTTCCCGAAAAACCAGAATTCCGCGAATTATGGATAAAAGCAACTAAAAGAAATAACTGGGTACCAAAGAAAAGCTCTAAAATATGTAGCCAACACTTTCATAACACTTTTTTTTTAAAGTAGGAAATAAAACATATTTACACCCTGAAACTGTTCCTGTTGAGGTAAGAAAGAAGTGTGACTAATTTATATACTGAAATTGTCAATATCTTTTCAAAACAAACAACTCCATTGATAATGTGTTCTTATTATAATTAAAGGTTTTAGAATCAGCAAATACTGTTGCGTCTACATCCACGGTATCAATGGAGACTGAAGAAAATTTACCGGAAACCGTTCAACATGCTTCAGATGTAGATAAATTACTGACTGTAAGTATATATTGTGGATTTAACCATTAAGAAATTGATAAAGATACATATCACAAATGTCTACTTCAAAGACACCGAAGCAGATAGAGGAAAGTGAAACTAAAAAACATTCAACTTCCTTGTCGGCAACTATTATTACTGCCGTCCGCTAACTAAAGGGCGGCTAAGTGACAAAATATTTTTTTGAGATATCAGAACAAACCATAACGCAGTTTTAGGATATTGAAATTGTTTGATGATATTTCAGCTATGCATCGTTGGGGTAAATTCTGATAAGTCGAACACTTTAACTAATTTTAACGGTTTTTAAAAGAGAATTTTGTTGGTGTTTGACCATTTGGTTATTTGACCAATGGTTATTTGACCATTTGTCACTTAGCCGCGTCTTAGTTAGTGGACGGCAGATTATCCGTAAATACACTTACACACTGCCCTTCTGATAATAGCACAGGTGAATTGTGGCTATGTATTATAAAAAAAAAAAACATATCAATTCAAAGTTAATTTTTTTTTAAATACGTATGAATAAATAGAAATATCAAAACTTAATGAGTTACAGCAAAATGAAGGACTTCACGTGGCCAATAAATTAAGAACTCAACATATACATTATGCTAAATAGATTATGAAGGTGCGTTTGGCAGCACAGACTTCCAGTATTCTGTGGCTGGTGCAATTCAGTTTTGCGATACATAACTCAATTTGCCTGAATTTTCTTCTTCAGAAGCTACTGTAGAGTTTATTAAAAATATTGACATTCTGTTTAATATTTTGAATAGCCGCAACGGTAACACATTCACTTTTAAAAAACTAATAAATGTAAATAATATAAATCAAATACAATGCGAGTAGACTGAGGATTGCGAGTTGGAATGTAGGAACAATGACTGGAAGAGGAAGGTAGTTAGCGGATGTTCTAGAAAAGAGACGAATAAACGTAGCGTGTTTGCAAGAGACGACGTGTAAGGGTACGAGAGCGAGAGATGTAGCGGTGGGTTATAAGTTTTATTATTCTGGAGGTGATGGAAAGAGGAACGATGTAGGAGTTGTATTGGATAAGGATATGAAAAAATGTGTGACGCATGTTTAGAGAATAAATGATAGAGTGATTTTGGTGAAATTGGTAATGCAAGATTTAGTTTTGAACGTGTTCAGTGTATATGCACCGCAGAGTGGATGTGATAATAGTATGAAAGAAAAGTTTTGGAAAGATTTTGATGCGGTGATAATGGATATTTCTCAGAATGACGATATTTATGTGGGTGGAGATTTCATTGGACACGTGGGAAGAGTGACTGCCTCCACTCACTATATAACAGAGTGCATGGGGGATGTGGCTTTGGGAGCAGAAATGAGGAGGGAGAGTCCTTGCTGCAGGCAGCCTCAGCTTTTGACTTGGCCATTGTGAATTCTTTTTTTCAAAAGAAAGACGAACGTCTAATTACTTACAGAAGCGGAAATCACAGCACTCAAATAGATTACTTCCTCCTGAGGAGATGCAATATAAGCACGGTCAAGGACTGTAAGGTTATACCAGGGGAGCCACAAGTCTCGCAACATCGACTACTGGTAATGGAGATTAAAATACAAGTCAAAACTGTTATGAAAAATCATCCGAAAATCAAGTGGCATTTGATAGAGAAAGAAGAGCGAGGGAATTTCAAAGGCGTGTGGTTGCTAAAATGATAGAAATGAATGGCATGGAAGAAAAATCAGTGAATGAATGTTAGAAAGAAATGGGTTCGTGTATTTGAATGGTGGCGAAGAATGTATTTGGAGAAACGAAAGGTAAAGGAACAATAGATAAGGATACTTGGTGGTGGAGTGAAGAGGTACAAATCGTTTTGAAAGAAAAGAAGAATGCATTTAAGGAATGGAAAAGCGTAGATGACCAGGATGTGATTTCCAAAGATAATAAAGGACAGAATATTTGGAGTGCAAGAGAAAGGCTAAGAAAGCGGTAGCTGTCTCTAGGGCGAAGGTCCAGGACAAACTTTACCAATATCTGGAGAGCCTGCATGGACAGAAAGACCTTTACCGACTTTCGAAAGCAAGAGAAAAGAACGCTAGGGATATTATCCATATCAAATGTATAAAAGATGATGAAGGGAAGATTTTGACGAAGGATAGAGAGATAAATGAACGTTGGAAAGAATATTTTAGTCGATTAATGAATGAAGAAAATGTGTGGAGTGGAGTGTTAGAGAATGCACCGATTAACATAGGGGTGGTGGAAGAGATAATGAAAAAAGATTGAAAATGAGGGCGCCACTTTGTCTTATTAACATCGTCTCTCAGATAATTTTGTTTTTAAAATTGAAATATTGTATAAAACACTTCTTGAACTGGAAGGATCTATTGATAAAGCGTGTGTGAATGTGTTATCCTATATATATTTAGCAAAATAACAGGAGAAAATGTAAAATATTTT